CAGAAGCCCCTGGAAACGTACTGGTGGCAGGTTCGCCAGTAGCGCTTGTTGTCACCGCCTGTCACCTCCTGGCTGTCCCTGCTTTGGAGATGTCCCTTCTTGAAGGCTTCCTGAAATAGAGGTGCCACACCGCCTTCCGGACGGTGCCTGGCGACAGTTGTGTATGTGGTAATTGGACAGCGACTTCTGGGTATTTCACGCATTTGCAACCTAAGCAAAACCTGGCATTTCTTTACTGCGGTTGCACTGCAGGTGATTGAAGTAATATGTAAGTTAAGACTGCAAAGGAGGGGCCTAGTGTGGTCTGATACTCAGTTTTTCTGGCACCGCAGCATCAGGGAGCTTCAGTTTGCCGTGTACAGCAAAAATTCTTCACAGTCCATAAGTGAATAAGTTTGACTTTGTGTTCTTACAGGGCTTCCTGTTTTGTATTTGCTTCTTCACGCATTAGTGAGGGAGAACTTTCTGGCTTTTTCCTTTTTGTTTGTTCAGTTTTTAAAGTGCTTTTCATTGCAATGGAAATGTGTGGTACGGTTGGTCCTAGGACCAGTCCTTCAGGACCTCCCTGTTATGGATTAACTCTGGCTGCTAAGTCACATACAGCTGCTTGCTCCCTCCCTGCCCCCTCCCTCGTGGGATTGGCAGAGAATCAGAAGGGCAAAAGTGCAAAAACCTGTGGGTTGAGATAAAGACAGTTTAACAGGTAAAGCAAAAGCCATGCACACAAGGAAACCAAAACAAGGGATTCATTCCCCACTTCCCATCAACAGGCTGGTGTTCAGCCATCTCCAGGAAAGCAGGGTTCCACCACATGCGTGGAGGACTTGGAAAGACAAACACTATTGCTCTGAATGTCATCCCTTCTTCCTTCCCCCAGCTTTTATTGCTGAGCACAATGCCAGGTGGAATGGAATATCCCTTTGGTCAGTTGGGGTCAGCTGCCTTGGCTGTGTCCCCTCCCACCTCCTTGTGAACCCCCAGCCCACTCGATGGTGGGGTGGTGCGAGAAAAGGCCTTGACGCAATGTAAGCACTGCTCAGCAATAGCTGAAACGTTGGTGTGCTAGCTGCACTGTTGTGGTCACAAATCTGATATATAGCACCATATGAACTACTGTGAAGAAAATTAACTGTGTCCTCACCAAAAGCAGTACAGACAAGTTCTTCAGGACATTTCCTCATAATTGCTCTTCAGAGCAACCTTCTCACTTCTTTTAACAAGTTGTTTTTGCATCTTGCATGAATATTGCTATTCTTTTAGGTGAAACTTGTCCTCCATGACATAATACAAGGTCGTCTTAGTCTTGTTTCCTGTGACTAGGTATTCAGATATCAGACTAGTTGACATGACATGTCTTATGTCTTTGGTAAACCCATGCTGCCTTTTATTCAGCTTGTATCTTGTGTCCTTTATACTTAAACTTGTTTTGCAATGTGCTGTAAGGATATTTTTCTTTCAAATTTTATTAATAAAATTTATGTGTTGCAGAGATCAGCTTACTGCATTTTTTGTTATCCAGAACTTTTTTCTTAAATTAATATATAGTTACTTTTTTTCAGTTATGTGGTACTGTTACTGATTCAGCACATTTATTAAAGATTTCTATGTTTGTAATTTAATGAGTGTCTCAGTGTAATCTAGTTGTAAGTTTCAAAACTAGACACCAGTGCTATTGTGAAAGGAGAATATTCTAAGGAATCTATTCACATGACTTTAAAAATAGACCTTTGCCATATAAGTAACAGGCTCATAAAATATTTTCCTCAGTAAATACAGAATATATCCAAGTGAACAAATCCACAAAACCACATCCTTCTGTTCTAAAGAAAAAGTAGAGGAGTTATAAGAAATTTAAGAGTGTTTGTAGTGGAAGTTGTTCACATTGAAGATCTCTTCAGTTTGCCAGCGCAGTGAAATGTGTGGGCTGTGGCAAGGAAAGAGCTTCTTTGGAGAAGTACAGGTTTGGAAAATGATGCAGTTATTAGAAGAGACACATGGACCACTGGAGTGCTGTGGTGGGTTCCAAAGTTCAGCTGGACAGAGAAGATAGTATCCAACATAAAACTGCTGGGAGACTCTCAGGGGAACTTTTAGTCCTGGGAGCAAGTAAAGGCACAGGTGAGAGCTGTTTGGTCACCATAAATTCCACTGAATAGCTGGTTCTTAAAGTTTTTGGTCGTGTTTGGAGGTGTATAGCAAGTAAATAGGAGAGAACAGGCCTAAGGGATTTATTGCAGTATTAGCTTCTTGGAGAGCTGTCTCTCTAGATAATGCATTTTAAAGATTGGCTGCCAGGGTGCCTCTGAAGATTCAGGAAGAGTGAATTTGAGGGAAGTCACAAAATTTGATTTCCTGAGTGCAGTAACTGGTGACATACAGCACAATGTGTTTGTTGTGTGATCTGCAAGAAAAGTAAAGGCAAATGTGAAAATATCTTGCAAATTTGTCCTTCCAACCTAAGGCATTTCTTCATAGCTGCTCAAACCTGTATCTGTAGTGTCAGTTGTTTTGTTATCTAAATGATGAATGGGTTTTGTTGATTATCAAGGAAGTAAAAATTTGCTGAGCATAAGATTATTTTTTTTTTTAAACACAGTTTCTGCTAAATTGTATTTAACTGTTGTCCTGGTTTCAGCTGAGAGGATTGATTTTTCTTCATAGTGGGGATATGTTTTGGATTTGTGCTGGAGACAGCATTGATAATATAGAGATGTTTTTGTTCTATGGACCTATTGTTGAGCAGTGTTTACACGGGGCCAAGGCCTTTTCTGCTTCTTGCACTGCCCTGCCAGGGGGATGGCTGGGGGTGCACAAGGAGTTGGGAGGAGACACAGACAGGACAGGTGACCCAAACTGACCAAAGGGATATTCCATACTATATGACGTCATGCTCAGTTTATAAGGAGCTTGGGGGAAGGGCGGGGGGGGGAGGCAGCATTCGGAGTGATGGCGTTTGTCTTCCCAAGTAACCGTTACGTGTGCTGGAGCCCTGCTTTCCTGGAGATGGCTGAACACCTGCCTGCCCATGGGAAGTGGGGAATGAATTCCTTGCTTTGCTTTGCTTGTGTGCACGGCTTTTGCTTTACCTATTAAACTGTCTTTATCTCAACCCACGAGTTTTCTCACTTTAACTTTTCCAATTCTCTTCCCCCATCCCAATGCGGGGGGGAGTGAACGAGCGGCTGCGTGGTACTCAGCTGCCGGTGGGGTAAAACCATGACAACTGTTCAGAAATCTGTTGTGGCACTCTGATTAAACAAACTCCACAAAATGTAGCTTGTATGGAGAAGGTGAATGAAGAATTACTTTTCACCACGCTGTACAAAAACCAGAGGATGTTGAATGGAACTTGCAAGGATCTCATTCAGAACACACAGACAGGCACCATGTAGTAAGGCTGCTGAAGTCCTTGCTGATAGATGTTCTGTGTACTAAAAATGTATATGAACTTACAGTGTGGCACAAATTGATTCAGAAGAGTCTGCTGAAGCTGCTAAATACAAAAACATCTTTTGTAGGATTTGCCTGAGACAGTTAGTAGCTGGAGAGGATTTGGAAAAGTTTCACTGTGTGTTTATGCTTTTCTTACATTCCTTCAAAGGCATTTGCTTATGATTGTTTTTGAAGATGGCTAAGTGAACCATGGGTGTGGTTGTCTGTATGTTCAGAAACAAGGCATAGTTCCAATGTAAAATTAAAAAAACTCTTTATGACTCAGTTATAATTCTGCTGCAGTCTTACTGTAAGCAACATCAAGGAGCCAAACGCTGGAGGAGCCTGCAGATTTAGGAAGATCATAATGGCTGGCAAATTTGCTTACACTTTGAAAATTATTTCCATGTAAGGGATGCAAAAAATACTCAAATAGAAAGCTTTTCAGGAAAGCTGAAAGTTGTTGCCTCTAAAAGGCTACTTTTAATGTATTAAGTGTGAGCAGTAGAATAACAGCAGCCATTTTTGCTGCTAAGGTTTTTTTTTTAATTCACAGTTTACATATAATCTGGTTGCAAATGTGTAAGAAGTGTGTTCAGTTTGATTGTAGTAAAAATCATCAAACTACTTGTTGCATATAGCTTTAGTAAAATGTTTTTAATATATCATGTATATTATGTGGGTTATACTTTGTAAAGCTTTATTATATTATGATGTTTGGTATCCTCAGCTGAAAGTGGGGGAGGTGAGGGGAAGGAACATACGAGTTTAGCATTAGTGGTCCACTGGCTTGTAACAGCAACTTTAATAGTAATTAATATTAGAAAATAATATACCGGTTCTTACAGTGGATTAGTTTATGAGGAAATACCAGCTAAAGGTTGTGTCTAGTGTGGCTTCTTGTACATAACTGTATTTTTCTGTAGCACTACATTTGTACTGATTGGAGCATAATCATATCTTGAAAGTAAGACTTACAAATCTGTCGCTGTAAAGTATTTCAGAATACTTTTTTAATTTTTCCAGCGATGACAAGGCTGATAGCTCAAATGATGCTGGAGCAGCTAGTAAACCTGCAGAGATGCCTACACAGAGAAGAAAACGGATCTCCACTGTGCCCAATCTTGCCAAACCCAGAGCTGGACCATCATCTGCTCAACATTCTCCATCAAAAGAGGAGAGGCAAGCATCACAGGCTCCTGATGGCAGTGCTTCGCTTCAGAAGGATTCCTCTCCATCAGAAAAGAGTAATGTTGAAAGGTCTTTAAAGTCTTCTATGCTGCCTGAAAAGAAAACACCCGTGCCACAAGTGCCACAGTTTTCCCCACTAAAAAAATCAGTGAACAAAGAACAAACTGTAGGTGTCACTGCTCAAAAAAATGATGATACCTTGCAGAAGAATGTACCCTCCCCACTCAAGGAGAGACCAACACAGGAAAGAACAGGAACACAAGAGGAAAAGCTACCTGTGAAACTTATTCCTGTAAAAGAGAAACAAACATGTTCAGACCGTGAAAGGATCCTTAAAGCTCGGAAGTTAAGAGAAATGCTTAAAGAAGAGCTGAAGAAAGAGCGGATGGTAGGCCTCTGCATTGAGCAGTGCTGATCTGTGAAGGGCAAAGACATGTGATTCACGTAACATACATTATCTCTTTGCAGTAGTGTTTTGTGATGATCATCAGGTGCTTACTGCTAATAACCTGTGATATCTCATAACTCTCTATAGGTTTAGTTTGTTTGTATAAGCAGTAGTAGCACTGTGTTGCCTCATAATACAGATTTCACAAGAAATTGTGTATCTTTTCATTTGATTAGACTCATGAGCCTTTTTGACATGAGACCTGCTATTATATTATGGTCAACATTCCAATTTTTAAAGTTTCACAGTTGGTAATACAGTGGGGAAGTGTGCTATAAGAAGCTTGGGATTTGGAGTTTCTTATATATTTTCAACTTGATTGTTGTTAAAGTTCTGTAATTTTTAATAACTTTTCACTTCCGTGCCAAGTATTGAATTTCCCTGAGAGGGTAAGTCATGTAAGGGTCTGTGGCTTCATCTGTGACAAAGAGTCACTTTTAAGATAAAACTTATTTCAGTTGTGGAGGGTGGGGAGAGGGAGGAACAACAAAACTCCCCAAATGGGGTACTTCATAAACAAAGAAGAATAGTCATTTGTGAAATATAAAGTACTTTCAGGGTGAATGTAAATGTTTTGTTATTTTTATATGGAAACAGTTGAAGCACAGACCTCCAATAATTGAAGGACGTTCCCCACCAGACCGTTCTAAAATGACCATGAGAGACTTGATATACTATCTGCCAGAAAACAATCCTATGAAGTAAGTATGACTCTTTTTCTCTCTCTTTAGGTTAAATGATTTTTCTTTTTCTACCAATTTAGTAATTGTGAAAAAGTATATTCTTAAATCTGGAGTATTAGCACAGATGCGGTATTGTTGCAATGGTAACAAAAGCTTCTGGATATTTTCGCATCTATTCAATCTTCATACAGAAATAAGAGTGAAGATTAGTGTACTTGTTGAAATATAAAAACATGAACCTGACCCTGGTGTTGATTTATCTCTGTGCAAATGCAGAACAATAGAATTTTTTTTAATTTTTTTTTTTTTTTTTTACTTGCTGCTGTTGGATTTTTCAGTTATGGCTGCTAGGGATGGTATGACTGCCTGCCAAATCTAGTGGACTACAGGAAGCTAAGTGTTTCTCCTTCCTAGGTGCTGAAGCACAAAACACACTGCAAGACCCAGGAGGTATCTCCATTCCAGCTGGATGGATGTGGCTGTTACTGTTCCCTTTACAGGTTTTGCCAGTAGCAAGGCTGAATGAGCATCCCAGAGGTGCACATACACAGGGAACACTAAGATAGCTGGCTGCACAGACTGCCACAGACAGAGCAGGGCCTTTTTCCTGCAAGTACCAAAACCACTCACATAAACATGACCAGAGCTATCCAAGTCCTGTTCTTCTTGGTAGCAAATGAGTTTTCCTGTTATTGTCTGTTATCACCTGCTTGTTCATGTTTGTGTGCTTGTGTGTTTTATTTATCACTTTCCCTGTTATTTTTTATTTTATATTGAGTAGTCCTTAAGCAGGTAATGAACCAGATGCTCTTACATTCCCTATGCCCATACAATGGATTACTGCATCAAATATCTTTTTTTTGTCCTTATACAAAAAAAGAGCAAAATGTTATTAAGCAGTGGCAGTTCTTCAGTTAGACTCGAATCTAGATGATTAGACTCAAGTCTAGACTCAAATCTAAAGAATTGAAAAAAAGCTTTTTGCTTCTTTGTCTATTATCCACTAAAAGCAGGTTTTGTGGAATGAAGCAAAAATGTATCTGTACAAATGTTCATCTCTAGCTTTTTATAAATTTCTAGGTCTTCATTGGCAGAAGAAAAGAGAGAAAAAAATTCTGCACTGAGTCAAATGAAAGAGTAAGTCTTGGTGATGGATGTATTTACAGTCAAACAGTTTTCTGATGTTGGAAAAAACATGTTTCTTTGGTAATACTAACAGTGTAGGTATGGTTTTTTTACTGTTTCGGTATCACAGCCCTTATTTATAACAAACTGTAATTTGGGAGGGGAGAGGGTGGTTAAAGAGCGTTTTGCTTTCAAGTTTATTTTTTTGGATTTGTCCATTTTGCAATAGAATGAAAAGCAGATTCCAGAGTTTATGTATCGACTAACTTGCTGGTGGGTTGCATTGCTGGGTGGTTCATTAAATTGTTGAATGTCTGGCATACAGAGCAGCAATTCAAAACACTAAAAAAAGTAATATTTTTGCTTGATGTCTTAAAATTGTAGACAGGAAGAGAAAAGTACCCCTGATCCTGAAGAGGAAGATGAGGAGGAAGAAGTAGAGAATGGGGAGGAGAGTCAGGACGGTCCACTTCTAGTTCCTCGTGTGAAAGTAGCAGAAGATGGTTCAATTATTCTGGATGAAGAAAGGTAACAAATCCTGTGCCTGACTCAAGGACAATATATATTATGTTGCTGTTTAGTTTTTGAATGGAGAACAGTTACTTTGGACAGGGACAAAGGTGAGTTTGTTTATATGTTGAGAGATGAGCTATCCTAACTTAGGAAACAGTGCAAGTATGTGGCAAAGTATGAGCAGCAGTTATCTGCATCTCAGTAGTGGCAAACTTTCTCTATGAGAAATGTTTATGGAGAAGGAGAGAGAGGAAGATGTCATATTTTACTACAGTGAATGAATGCTGAATATTTGTCAAGCTTTCAAATGTCTTCTGTTTAGTTAACTTGTTTCTCACAGTTGCATGCGTCTGCTTACTGTTATTCAGTTTTCAGTGTGATTTGCTCCAGCAAAAACATCTTGCGTGTTGCTGCTTTACTCAGCTGTCAGTGTTTTCAGGAACTTTGCTTAGACTATGACTTTTTAAAAGTATTAGATTACCTAATTATTGAGTTCCCTAAATGTATTAGTAGCATGAGATGTAACATAAGGTGTAAGGCTAGAGCAGTCCTGGTAAAGGAATTTGAAAGTATTCTAAAAGGATATGGAGAGGCTTTTGTGGTGTTGCAAAATAATTTTCTTGACTGTTAAAAAGACAATTTTATATGTGTATTTTTTTAAGATATTTAATCATGTCTGTCTGTACTGTATCTTATAAAAAGGGAAAAGGAAATTTACTTGCCCAGACTGAGCAGGTTAATGATTTATTGCTGCATTTTCTCATTAAAATACATGTTAATATAATTATTAAACCTGGTTATAGTACCAACTCTGACTTATGGTAGGAAAAATCTGAATAGCTGGCTTATAAACATTTATTATGTCTCTTGTTAGCAATATTTTCAGATGAGCCTCTGTGTGTTTGCTTTTCCAGTTTAACTGTAGAAGTTCTAAGAACAAAAGGTCCATGTGTTGTAGAAGAAAATGATCCCATATTTGAGCGTGGCTCTACAACTACGTATTCCAGCTTCAGGAAAAGCTTTTACACAAAACCATGGTCAAATAAAGGTGAGTATATTTTTAGTTTCAAGTTTTGAGTCTGCAGAAGAATCTTAGTTTTCCACCTATGCTTTGTACTCAACAATTATTTCTAGTGGAGTAAATGGATCTACTTATGTGTGACATAGTCTCAACCCTCCAAACTCTTAAAACAAGTAGAGCTCTGATATTTACTATGAAAATTGGCATGTTTAAAAAAATCCAGTGCCTTATGATATGTAGGCTGCCTCTGAATTTTTTCTGTCATGAATGTTTAGATGCTGTGGAAATGCTAGTCTGCCTTATCAAAAGTGTAATTTTGGATTCTGATGTCTGGATATTCGAGCTCTATATGGATCAACTGGCACTTCTTAACAGCTTCTTTACTTGGTTCTTCCAGCATGGACATGAATAAATTCTATAAGCTATCTTTATATGGGCTGATTTCAGTGCATGAGGACAGCTGTGTTTTTATGAGTGGGTGGGCTGGTTTTTTATTATGCCTGCTGTGAATTATTATCTCTAGGCTGACAACACTGTGCAAGACTTTTTACAATGGAAATGCTTTTTATAAGTGTAGATGGAAAAATTAGCCTCAGAACTCACTCCGCTGCTTTTGGAATGCACTCTTTTCCTGTTAACAAATAATAATGGAGATGGTATTTTTTACAGATGCTTTTTTCTGTTTGTGGTTGTGTTCATAATAAAAATTAACACTGGCAATTTGGAGTTGATTAGCTTTGATTTATTAGCTTTACAAAACATATTTCACATTCTGCAGTTTTATAATAGGTTAGACAGTTCTTTCTGTAAATAGTTAATTCAGCAAATGTTATTAGAGGTTCTTAGGTAAAATAACACACATACTTCAGCCCAGCTGAACTTGCAGCCAAAATAGATAACCTTAAAGTTACCTATCTCACTGCATTAAGCTTGAAAGGTGTTTTTATTTTAGATAGCAAGAAGAATGGTTAACTAAATACTTAAGTGTATGTATCTATCTTTTTTTTTCCCCCCACCCCCCCACCCCTCCAGAAACAGACATGTTCTTTTTAGCAATCAGTATGGTAGGAACAGACTTCTCCTTGATTGGACGGCTGTTTCCTCATAGAGCCAGAGCAGAAATTAAGGTAAAAATTAAAGCACTCTATAAAGCAATTAAATGTCTGTTTTCAGTTTTCTAATTTGCTATTCCTATGCTTCCTCTATTAGTATTGATAATTTTGATGCTAACTGGCTCTGTAGCAAGGCTTTTTTTTAATACCTGTTTCCAAGAGGTAGTAAGTATCTGAAACATTAATACGCTCAGTTGAATTCTGATCAACATATCTAGTAAATCCAGCATATCTAGACACAGTTTGCCTCGATTTTGTTTTAATTGAAAAATGCTACTAAGCATAAGTGGATGCTTGGTGAGGGTCTTCTGTGTCACCTTTTTTGTCATATCCAGCTGGGAAAATCTGTGGTATTTCAGACTGTGCTTAGGTTGGAAGTAAGGACAAAGATGTTGAAAATAATAAAAATTTATGACTGGTGAGACCTATTGGTGACGGATTTTATATTTAAAAATTGATTACAAATTTGTGTTCTGTGGGTGTGCCTGTAAGATTTAACAACTTTAGTTGGTAGAAAATTTAGTTACATTGAAGAAGGTTTAACTTGATCTACCATATTGTACAATATATTTTTGCATTTCTTGCTTACTGAAAAAGACAAATATACCTTTGCTTTTAGAACAAGTTCAAACGTGAGGAAAAAGTTAATGGATGGAGGATAGACAAAGCTTTCAGTAAGTAGATTAAATGTACTCCACCCTACAATGAGCCATATAATAGTAGTGTCATGGTTTAACCCCAGCCAGCAACTTAAGCCCCATGCAGCCACCTGCTCACTCCCCCACAATGGGATGGGGAAGAGAATCGGAAGAGGGAAACTGAGAAAACTCATGGGTTGAGGCAGTAAAAGTGAGAAAACTCATGGATTGAGAAAAAGACAGTTTAACAGGTAAAGCAAAAGCCACAAATGCAAGCAAAACAAGACAAGGAATTAATTCTCCACCCCCCCTTTTCTCTTCCCCCAAGCCCCTTATATGCTGACCATATGGTATGGAATATCCCTTTGGTCAGTTTGGATCAGCTGTCCTGGCTGTGTCTCCTTCCAACTCCTTGTGCACCCACAGCCATCCCACTGGCAGGATGGTGTGAGAAGCAGAAAAGGTCTTGACTCTGTGTAAGCACTGCTCAGCAGTAAAGAAAATGTCTCTATATTATCAACACTGTTTTCAGCACAAATCCAAAATGTAGCCTCAAACTAGCCACCACGAAGACAATTAACTCTGTCAGCTGAAACAAGGGCATTGTCCACCCCTTATTCAATACCATTTGTGTTGTGCTCAAGTCCCACACAATCCAATACATCCTCATTAACCACAATCCCTCTTCTCATCCTTTGATAGAATGTGATATGCTGATATCATTCCCTTAGTCTATGGACTACCCCTGTAAAATGTCCACGGAGTTCATTTAGCCCATGACTTTGGGTTCCGTCTCTTATAGTAGTCACTCTGGACAGGAGAGGTGGTGTGATGCATGGAGTTACTGAGCACTAAAGTGAGCTCAGGTCGAGCCTGCTGCTGCACTTGCATTGCTTCTTGTAAGGCTTGTCCTCCATTGGTTCAGGTGGTTCCAGCTATAGTAATTCCCATAACATGCAGCTCAAGTCCTGGGTTACAACAATTTAAAGATATTTCCATTATAATATCCACCCCTGGTCCCTTGGAGCCAGACCATCAGGTTTAGCATTGCAGTGAACACTTCCCCTTGTCCCTGCTCCAACTTGGACTTCTCCACAGACTGCAGTCCCTAGGGGTGTACCTTCTCCAAGTGGAGCCTTATCTGTCGACCACAGTCTCTCCGGGACCTGCTGCATCATTAACTTACGCACAGCCACAGTCACTTCAAGATGCATCTGTACCAGCGTGGCCTTATCCATGGGCCACAATGCCTTCAGAGATAGATATACCTGCTCCAGTGTGGCCTTAGCCACAGTCACTTTAGTCCCTTCAGAAATAAACCTGTCCTGTCGTGGGCTCATCCATGACCACACACTTTGAGGTGGTCCAGCATGACCTCCTGCACAGCCACTCATTTCAAGGTGCACCTGCTGCAGCATGGACTTATCCACAGCCACAGGTGCTTTGAGGTGTTCCAGCATGGACTTACCTTTGGACAATACTCCCTTCAGAGACGCATTTGCTGTAGCACAGGCATAACCACAACCACAGACCCTTTGAGATATTCTTGCTCTGGTGTGAACCTAGTCATGGCGGCAGATGCTTTGGGGGTGTCCTGCTCCCATGTGGACTCATCCACAGTTCACAGTCCCTTCAACTGGAGTGCACACAGGAGTTCCAGCCTGTCCAGTACAGCAGTGCAGAAACAGCAGCGATGCCCTGGCATCTGCCAGCCCAGGCACATTGCCATTGCTGTTACCAAAATGTTCCCAGGCACAGCACAGTAAGATGATAAGCAGCACAGCAAGCTGCAAAAGCAAAAAGCAGCCACTAATGAGCACTAGATTCTACTATATAGTAAAGCAAGCAAGCCAGCCCCATGGCAAGCACAGGAGCCTACCAATTAATAGCTAAACAGCTGTAACAGCTATAAATTTGATCTAGCACATTCTAATCTGTCATTATCTCGAACCTATCAAGCCCCATGCTGGGCACCAGAAAGGACTGTTGTGGTTTACCCCTGGCTAGCAGCTAAGCCCCACACAGCCACTCGCTTACTCCCCCCTCACCACCACCCTCCAGCAGGATGGGGGAGAGACTTGGAAGACTGAAAGTGAGAAAACTCGTGCGTTGAGATAGTTTAATAAATAAAACAAAAGCTACAAACGCAAGCAAAGCAAAACAAGGAATTCATTCACCATTTCCCATCTGCAGGCAGGTGTTCAGCTGTGCATGCAAGCAAAGCAAAATGAGGAATTCATTCACCACTTCCCATGGGCAGGCAGGTGTTCAGCCATCTCCAGGAAAGCAGGGTGCCATCATGTGTAGCGGTGACTTGCGAAGACAAACGCCATCACTCCAGATGCTCCCCCTGCCCTTCCTTCCTCTTCCCCAAGCCCCTTATAAGCTGAGCATGACATCATATGGTGTGGAATATCCCTTTGGTCAGTTTGGATCAGCTGTTCCAGCTGTGTCCCCTCCCAGCTTGTTGTGCACCCCCAGCCCACTCACTGGTGGGGTGGTGTGAGGAGCAGAAAAGGCCTTGGCTCT